TTTTCTTCTGCGTGCTGGGGACAGAACCCAAGGCCTCCCACATGCTAGACAAAGCTCTCACCGTTGAGCCCCTCACCCAAACCCTCTTATTCTTGAGTCTATCAACCTTGTCCACAATGTCCTTTGTTGAGAAGAAACTCCTAATTCTGAGACAAATTTACCCTTTTTTTTTTTTTAATTGGATGGTTGGTACTTTTAAGTTTTGTTTTTAGAGGGCTGGGGATTTAGCTCAGCGGCAAAGCGCCTGCCTGGCAAGCGCAAGGTCGTGAGTTCCGTTCCCGGTACCGGAGAAAAACAAAACAAAACAAAAAAAGTTTTGTTTTTAGAAACTAACTTCCCATAGCATGCTGGCAGGCTGAGGCAGGAGGATGCCACGGTTGAGCCCGTCCTGGACAACTTGGCAATTTGAGACCTTATCTCAAAATCTGAAACACTAAAGAAGGGGGCAGGGATGTAGCTCAGTGCGATGGCCTTGGATTCAATCCCCAGTACTGGAAAAAACAGACGAGCCAAAAACAAACAGCGCGAAAACTTCCCAACTCTGCAGCACATACGCCCACCCTGACTTTACCCCCACGAACCTGTAGCCCGTAGCGTTATTTCTCACAAAACCATTCTAGAAGCATTTACTGCCGGGTGGGAGACTTCTAAATGCCCAGCTAGTCCTTTCCGCTTCGTGTTGCAAGCGCGGTCCAAGACCAGGAGCCGGGCATGGGCGTGACGGTGTGCCAATAAAGCTTTATTGACAAACACCGGCGGGCCGCGGACCTCTGACCCGGCTCGAGGCACGGCCCGCGGGTGCGGGGGAGCCGGGCCCGAGGCGGGCGGCGGGGGCTGGGGCGCGTGCTGCCTGCGGTCCCCAGAGCCCCCTGCCCTCGTCTCCCCACAGGCACCTTCAAGATCCAGAAAACCCGGCTACAGCGCGAGGGCTTCGACCCGCGCCAGACCTCGGACCGGCTCTTCTTCCTGGACCTGAAGCAGGGCCGCTACCTGCCGCTCGGCGAGGCGCTGCACGCGCAGATCTGCTCCGGCGCCTGCGCGCTCTGACCCGCGTGCCGACCACGCCCCCGCCCCGCGGAGGGAGCGCGCGTGCGCGTGCGCAGGGCGGCTGGGCGGCCCGGCGGGGCTGGCGGGGCGCGGGCGCGGCGCCCCCCTCGGGGTCCCCTCTCTCCTGTCCCCGCCCCCGACCTCGCGGTCGCCCCCGCTGTGCCTTAGGGCCCGCTCGGGCCCCTCCGGCTCGGCTGCGGCCGGCGCCGCCCGGGCAGGGTCGCCCGGCCGCTCGGGGCGGCTGACAGCTGGGGTTCCGTCCCTGGTTTTACGCAATAAACCGGCCGAGTCGGCAGCTGCTGCGCGCGCAGAGGGTCCGTCCGTGCCCCGCGCCGCCGCACTTCCTCACCGCCCGCCAAGCCCGGGCCCGGTCCGGGGGACCCGCGGCCTCGCGGCCTGGGTCGGAGCAGGGCCTGGTGCGGCGCCCAGCACCACAGCGACCTCACCCCCGCGGGACTGGACCTAGCCGGGCGCTCGCTGGGCCCCACGGGGCGGCACGTTGCTGGTGCCGATGGACGGGGTCGGCTCCTGAAGTTCACGTAACACTGCGGTACCGGCGATGGAGCTCGGGCCTGCACTGAGCTACAACCCCAGCCGTTAGTATTTTTTTATTTAGAAACTTTCCATGTCACTAAATTTCCCAGGCTGAGCTTGAAGTTGCGATCCTCCTGCCTCAGCCTCCTAGGTAGCTGGGGTTACAGGCGGGAGCTACAGTGTGGACGTTTCCACGCTCCTGACACCATTACTGAGCCGGCATTAATCCTCTGCTAACACTGAAACCACAAGGCGGGCCCTCCCCGGGCCACCTGCAGGACCAAGGGGCCACCGGGCTAGCGTCGCTCCCCCTGCAACCTGGGGCCTCTGTGGTCCCTGGGGAGGGTGACAGTTGGCCTGCGGTCCGGAGAGGCTGCCCTAGGTGGCTGGGGCGGGGGGAGCATGCCCTCCCTGGTTCAGATTTGGTTTTAAAAAATTTGTGAAATATCTACATATATATGATGAGGTATTTCAGGGATGGGACCAATGAAACACAATTGTTTACTCTGTATTTGGAGACAGGGTCTTACTAAATTGGTAAATTGCCAAGGCTGGGCTTGAATTTGAGATCCTCCTGCCTCAGCCTCCTAGAGTGCTGAGATTACAGGCCTGAACCACCACACCTGGTTTAGATACATAATTTGTGTTCCTTTTGCACCTAATACACAGAGTCTGAAGATAGTTATATACTGTTTTTAATAGATGTGTCTATGAAACAAGTGTATAATTTTCCACACGTGACTTCACAGCAGTGCTGAAAGGTTTGGATTTGGGAGGCTGAGGATGAGTCTCAGTGGGAGGGTATTTGCTTAGATACATGGGGCCCTGGATCCGACCCCCCTCCCCCCAAAAAATCAACTCTCAAGTGTCAGATGTGGGAGTATTTAGGTTTCAGGTTTTTGGATGAAGTATGTTCAACATGTATCACCAAAAGATTTAATTGCTTTAAAGCTCTTCCCTGCTAGGCGTGGTGCTGCACACCCGTAAATGCAGCAGTCAGGAGGCTGAGGCAGGAGGGTCGCTGTGCGTTCAAGGCCAGGATGGACTACACAGCAAGACCCTGTCTCAGCCAAACAGAACCCCTACTGCTCACCGGTGTGTCCGTCTCTCTCGTCCTGGCAGCCACTGGCTGTGCTGTGCCTGCAGCGCTGCTTTTGCACACCCCACGCCCTCAGGGGCTCTTCCAGCTTGGCTTCTCTCACCTCACCAGGTGCAGCACTTTCTGTCTCTCTGCTCGAGGCCGCGCTGTTTCCACATTTATTTTTCCTTTTCGTGGTGCTGGGCCGGCACTCACCACGCAGCTGCACCCTGGCCCTCGAAAGCTTCCCTTTGTGAATCTGCCCAACACTGCCCGATTCATCCCACGCTCCTGGGTCAGAAGGACCCTGGCCCAAAGCCCTTCTTGGCAGGACGTACTAGCACAGCGGTGCTTAGCAAGTGAGAGGTCCAGGATTCCATCCCTGGACCACACGAAATTAACAAAGAAAAACAAAGCCCAAAGCCTGCATGACAGTCACCACTATTTAGATGCAGAACACTTGCACCCACACAAACCCTGTCAAGCCCAGTGTGGTGGCATTGCCTGTCGTCCCAGGACTTGGGAGGCTGAGACAGGAGGACTGCAAGCTTGAGCCCAGCTTGGGCTATACAGTGAGTTCAAGCCTAGCTTGAGCTACACAGAGATAGCCTGTCTCAGGAAGCAACAAAAAACCCATCGCCACTCATTTCCCCATTCCTTCCCCAGCTCCTAGCAACAACGCCTCAGCATCCTGTCCCTGTGGGTCCCATGGCTCTGGACATCTCAGGTCACTGAGTCACACACTCGTGGCTTTTGGACGTGGCCACTGTCATTCCACCTCATGTTGTGTCAGTGCTTCACTCCCTTTCATGGCTCCGTGATATTCCACCAGCCAGACAGGCCACATTATCTAGTCACCCGCTGCAGAACAGTTGTTTCCACTTTGGGGCTCCTTTAAATAACTGCTAGGAACATCCTCTCAGGGACACACCCAGGTGTGCAAATGCTGGGTCGCAGGCTCACATCACACCTTTGAGGAATTGCCAGACTTTTCCAACATGGCTGCACCATTTTATGTCTCTAGCAATGTGTGGGTTTCAGCTGTGCCATCCTGGTGGCACTGTCTTTGTGATTCCAGCCATCCTCGTGAGGGTGAAGACCAACGTCTCCCCCGCTCTCCTCTAGCGCTAGAAATGGAGGCCCGGCCTCACGTATGCTCCGCAAGAGCTGCACCCCCAGGTGTACAACTTCGGTTTTAATTTGAGACAGTGTCTGAGCTTGTCCAGATTGGCTTCAGACTGTGGATCCTCCTGCCTCAGCTTTCAGAAGACCTGAGGCTACGGCTATGTGGTTTGCTGTCATCTTCTCCTGCCTTACCGTAGTTGGGACCTGCGTCTCCTTGATGGCCACAAACAGGACATCTTTTCATGTGTCACTATGCATGTGCATATCTTCAGAGGAATATCCATTCAAATACTGTGTCCTTTAAATTTTTTTTTTTTTCTGGTACCGGGAATCGAACTCACGACCTCACGCTTGCCAGGCAGGCACTGTGCCACTGAGCTAAATCCCCAGCCCATGTCCTTTGAAAACTTTGGTTGTCTTGTGTTATTCATATATTTGTATATAGCCAGGCGTGGTGGTGCATGCCTGTGATCCCAGCATTCTGGAGGCCGAAGCAGGAGGATCGATGTGAGTTCAAGGCCAGCCTGGCATACATAGTGAGTTCAAGGCCAGCCTGAACTACACGGGGAGACCCTGTCACAAACGAACAAAAACATGTATGTGTATTGTATGTAAGACCTTTAGAGATGATTTCTCCCTGTCCCGTGGTTGTCTACCCGCTTTCTAACAGTCACCTGGGATGCAGAAGTCTGTAACTTCAGTGAAGTCTGGTTTATCTTTCGTCGCTTGTCCTTTAGGTGCCCACAGGGCACACGAACCCTGACAGTGTGGTGTCCACGTAAGGACAGACACACAGATTAAAATACGTTGGTAAAACGCCGAGTGCAGAAGTGGACAGAGCCGGGCGTGGGGGCGCACACCTCAACCCCAGCACTCGGGAGGCTGAGGGAGGAGGGTCGCCGCGCGCTCGAGGCCAGCCTGGGTTACAGAGTGAGCGAGACCCATCTCAAAACAAAAGAAACCAGCACCACCACCGAAGAAACAACATACTGCAACAGACCCAGGAACGTGCAAACGCACCACAGCGTACCCCCAGGAACGCGTCCCCGGTCCGCACCGAGCGCCTGGGCTGCCCCGCCAAGGCGCCCCGAGTCGCTCGCGCACAGCCTGCGGGTGGGCGGGGCCGATCCCACTCCCCACCCGTCCAGGCTTCACTTGCAGGACTGCGCATGTGCGCAGCGGGGCCGCTCGAACCGCTAGAGCCGGCGTGGCGGGGCAGGCCTCTGCGCAGGCGCACTAGCGGCCGCCGGGAGCGCTTCCGCCTCCCCGCCGTCGCCATGGCCGCGCCCGCCCCGGGCCTCATCTCGGTCTTCTCGAGCCCGCAGGAGCTGGGCGCGTCGCTGGCGCAGCTGGTGGTCCAGAGGGCGGCGTGTTGCCTAGAAGGGCCCCGCGCCCGCTTCGCTCTCGGGCTGTCGGGCGGTAGCCTCGTGTCGATGCTGGCCCGTGACCTGCCCGCCGCCGCCGCCGCCGCTGGACCCGCCAGCCTCGCGCGCTGGACGCTGGGCTTCTGCGACGAGCGCCTGGTGCCCTTCGAGCACGCCGAGAGCACGTACGGCCTCTACCGGGTAAGAGCTACGGGGGCCGCCGGGGGTCAGGCCGCCGGGGCCGCGCCTACCGCTGGAGCCTCGCTACGGGGGCCGCCGGGGGTCACGCCGGGGGCCACGCCCACTACTTGAATTTGGGAGGGCAACGCCCACGGCCTGGCCCAGTCCGGGTGTCCTGGGCTCCCCGCCCCTCCACCTGGCGGCCCCTTTTATGCTTTATCCGGCGGCGGCCAGGCGGAGGGAACAGCCTGACCGAGAGCCCGAAGGCACAGCAAGGCCCTCAGGCGGCAGGGCCCCCTGTCCCCTGCTCTGGCTCTCCGTGCGCCCTGAGGTCGCTGCGCAAGATCGTGTTCCCACAGCGGCGCGCAAGGCTCAGCATGCAGCTCTCACTCGTGGCCACCTGATACCCACTTCACAGATGGAGAAACTGAGGCACGGGGCTCCTCTGTCCGGTCCACGAGCGACCACGGGGGAAGCCAGGCTGTGAGGCTGCCCGGCAACTCCAGAGACAGCACCTGCCACACGGAGCTTCGGGGTTCCACTGACTTTGCTTTGAGAGGCTGAGGCAGGAGGGTCACAAGTTCCACCCCAGCCTGGGCAACTTAGCAAGATTTTGTCTTCAAATAAAAACAGAAGGGGCTGGGGCTGGAGCTCAGTGTTCGCCCTGCATTCAGTGCCCAGTACTGCAGGGGTGAGGGGAGGGAAGGAAGGAGGGGGAGAAGAAGGGGTGGGGCCCGTGAGCCCCTGGCCAGTGCTGGCCGAGCCCCTGGAGGCCTTGGTTTCCATGCCCAGCACTGGGCGAAAAGAAGGAAAAGGAAAAAGGAAAAGTGGGCTTTTGTGTCTTTTTTTTCACAACTTTTAAAAACCTGCATCTTTTCTGGATTAGGAGACAAAGCTCAGAAACCACCGGCTGCTCGGTGGGCGTCGCCGCCGCGCCACGCCCCCATGGGCCGGTCGGCGGGTGCGCGGGAACTCGGCTCCAGCGGACGCTGGTGCCCTGTCAGGGCCGGGGTGGAGCGCGTGGTTCCCTCTGCGGAAGGGCCATATGGCACCCAGGGCCCCGCCCAGCCCCTGGGCTCTGGCTGCGGCTGGCCCTGGAGCCTCCTCTGCCCTGGAGCAGCGGCCCCAGAGCTCAGTAGCCGGGCCCTGGCATCTGGGCCTCAGCCTCCCCTTCTGTAAATGGGCCTCCTTCGAACTAGAGGCGTCATCTTCTGTCTCCCACAGACGCACCTGCTGTCCAGACTGCCGGTCCCCGACAGCCAGGTCATCACCATCGACCCCCAGCTGCCCGTGGAGGCAGCGGCCGAGGACTATGCCAGGAAGCTGAGGCAGGTGGGTCTCCAGGAGCAGCTTGCACAGGAGACCTGGACCCCAGAGGGCTCACACCGTGCAGTGGGTGGTTTGTGTGATGTCACCAGCAGGAACTGTCCCCGGGCACTCAGAAACACGCCTTGCCTGGCCTGTCCAGCTCCTCACTGCTTGGGGACACTTCTGTCCCTGGCCGTGTGGTCCTCTACCCGTCACACCCATGAAAGTGATGTCTAAGGCTGGAGTGGCCGTAATCACAGGCAGGCCAGGCTTCGCATCCTGCGACAGCTCTGACTGGCCCTTGGTATCCGTGGGAGTTGGCCCTGGAACCCCTCAGCTTCCAAAATCCCCAGGTGCATCTGTCATCCCAGCACTCAGGAGGCTGAGACAGGAGGATCTCAGGTTGGAGGCCAGGGCCAGGGATATAGCTCAGCAGCACAAGCATCTGCCTGGCAAGCACAAGGTCCTGAGTTTGATTCCTGGTACCAAAAAAATCCAAAAATCCAAAAAACCAAAACACCAAGTTCGAGGCTACCCCGGGCAACTTAGGGTCTTAGCGAGACCCTGTCTCACAACATGTAAGAAGGGGCTGGGGATGCAGCTCAGCGCAAAGGCCCTGCGTTCCCCGCCCAGTGCTGCTCCCCAAGTTCCAGATGCTCAACCCTGGCCGTGCGGCAGTGGCGCGGCCTCAGCTGTGCTCCCCCCACCAGGCCTTCCAGGGAGACACCATTCCCGTGTTTGACCTGCTGCTCCTGGGCGTGGGCCCCGACGGCCACACCTGCTCGCTCTTCCCGGACCACCCACTGCTGCAGGTGAGCCCTGGCACCCGCCTGGCATCACGCCGCTGGCTGCATTTAGCGTACACGGCCCTGGCACAGCCTTCCTGCACCCCAGGCCTGGGCTGGGGCGTGGCTCCCTGGGGTGCTCACCAGATGTGCATGGGCCCTGGATTCAAGCCCCGGGGGGACCACAAACAACCGGCCATGGGACTTGGCACTGTTGAGGGCTGAGCTAGCCCCGGGGCTCGGGAATGAGAAATGGTTGGTGTGGTAGGCTACAGCCCTCAGGGAGGCTGAGGCAGGAGGGTTGCAAGTTCCAGCCCAGCCTGGGCAACGTGGCGACTTAGCGAGACCCTGTCTCAAGACTTAAAAAAGGTCTGGGGTGCAGCTCAGTGTGCAGGCCCTGTGCTCAGTCCTCGGAACCAGAACAAAAGGAGAGGTGACTTCTGCCCCCAGGAGCGGGACAGGATCGTGGCCCCCGTCAGCGACTCCCCAAAGCCCCCCCCGCAGCGGGTGACCCTGACCCTGCCCGTGCTGAACGCAGCCAGGACGGTGGTGTTTGTGGCGACCGGGGAGGGCAAGGCGGCCGTGCTGAAGGTAAGGCTGGGCCTGTCCTGGGCCCCACGGGGCGGACGTTGTTGGGGTGCGAGGGACTCGGCACTGCTGTCCAAACCCTAACCCTACCCTGGCACTGTGGGGTCTGGGAAGAGCATGCCTGGCACTGAGGGGATGAGACCAGAGGGCGCCCAGGGGAAATTCACAGGCTCAAAAGGCAGGAGGCCGGGCGTGGTGGTGCACGCCCAGGAGGCTGAGGCAGGAGGATCCCGTGAGTTCAAGGCCAGGCTGGGCTACACAGTGAGACCCTGTTTCAAAATATCCAAAGGGGGAAACGAAGTCGGGTCTCCCTGTGGGCCCCCAGGTCCCAAGGCACGGCCCTCTGTCCCCACAGCGCATCCTGGAGGACAGGGACGCAGCGCCGCTGCCAGCCGGCCTGGTGCGGCCACACACGGGGACGCTGTGCTGGCTGCTGGACGAGGCGGCCGCGCGCCTCCTGTCCGTGCCCTTCGAGAAGCACTCCACGCTGTAGCCGCGCAGGTCGCAGTGGGCCAGGACAGGCGCGCAGGGCGGCGGCCGAGAGCCACCCATGTGGTGCGCCCTGCACCGGGTCGGGACGCGGGAGATTAAAGGGCGTTGCCGGAAACCCAGAGCCCCTGTCCTCCGTGGCACCTGTCCTCACGCTCGGGCCGGGCACTACGAGTTGGTTCCTGCAGCGAAGCACCCCAAACTGACGGGAAGGGTGGTGCCCACCTGTCACCCCTGCTCTTGGGAGGCTGAGGCAGGTCGATCCCAGGTTAGAGACCTGCCTGGATAATTTAGACCCTGCTTGGAGTGCAGGTTGCCTGGCTCACAAGAAATGCAGGTTCCAGCTCCAGTGCTGGACACACACACACACACACACACACACACACACACACACACA